AAATCTATCATTGAACAGAAATTCAGAGGAACTGTCAATGCAACAAGCATCGTATCAAAATTGCAGAAATTTAATAGAAACACCACTACGATATTTTATGAACTTTTATTTGCAAGAAAATCATCGATAATTTCAAGAAACCCGAATGTAAGAACAATAAAGTAAAGATTTAAACAAGAATGTTTCATCGCACTTTGAAAACATGTAAAAGCAGAATGAATGAACGAATGAATGAATGCTTTGTGAAATGAGCTAAACTGCAAACGTTAATAAATATTCGCTTATTAACTAAGGATTAGGTTGAACCAACTAAAAATAACAAAATTAATTAACTAATTAATTAGTTTTTATGACGAAAATGTTTCAGAGAGAAAGGATAAAACATGCACACGTGTGTGTATGTGTGTGTGTATATGTGTGTGTATGTGTGTTTGTTTGTTCGTGTATGTGTGTGTGTGTGTGACGTTCCGGCGACAAACATGCTGTTTGGTTATGGATTAATATAAATTAAAATTAGTAACGATAAATTCATTATGTTAATAAGAATAAAAATGAACTAATTAACAACAACAGTGACAATAATAATAATTATTATTATTCATATATTAATAAATAAAAATATTATCATAAATAAATGAATAATAAAAGAATCGTACAGCATCACAAAAACGATATTCTGGATAAGATTAATGAAACTTTGTCAGTGAGCGAGCCTAAGGTCCCGGGTTCAAACACAAGACGAAAAAAGTTCATTTTTTCCAATTTGTTATCATTAGCTTATCTATTGCCTGATTATAATAGTTCATTTAAATTAATGCGATTCTAAATAAAGAAAGAAAAGAATATTAAATCTAATTGAATTAAAATCAAAAAATAACAAAATCATTGTTTAAGTAAATACGAAATTAATCAACTAATTTTAAAACACGTTGTCATCAATCAATTGATTAATGAATGAATGGATGAATGAATGAATGGATGAATGAATGAATGAATTATGAATGAAGTAATAAACTAATTGGTCAATTAATTATGAACCGATGCAATGCTGATTTAATCAGGAGGTAGAAAAGAAATAATTAAAAAAAATGTATAAATACACGCACGCACACACTCACAAATTATATATGCATAGCGCATAACAGTTTAAAGTTCATAAAAAATATTTAAGCCAATCAATCAATCAATCGATAAATAAATTAATAAATTGAATGATTAATTAATTAATTATTACAATTAAAGTAACATAAATTAGATAAGAGATTTATTAATAACAAGCTAAATGTTTATTCAATATTGGTCTACGATGAATGACTTTCTGTCCCAGTTTTTCACTAGAAACATATATCAATAATAATAATAATAATAATAAGATTGTTAAAAAAAATTAAAACTAATTAATATATATATATATATATATATATATATATATATATATATATATATATATATTGGAAGGAGACCATATTTTATACGGTATTGTATGAGTTCTACCGAATTATTGGTATTAATCAATTTAATTCAATTGGTCAATAGGTTTTAGAACAACTGCACTCCTAAAGACGATCCTAGTTTGAAGCGTAATCATGTGATATATGAATTTAAATGCCTTATTGACGACTGTGCGCGTCAACAACATTCGTATATTGTTGGCGTTACGACCACGTCACCATCAAGACATCTCACAATTTGGTATTTATTATAATAATATTATAATGTAAACACACATTGATTTGGAATGCTAAAAATAGTATATATATATATATATATATATATATATATATATATATATATATATGTTGGTAATAGACCATAATTTTTACAATATTCTATAAATTCTACCGAATGATTGGCGTTAATGCCAATCATTCGGTAGAATTTATAGAATATTGTAATATATATATATATATATATATATATATATATAAAAGATTAAGACTGTCAAAAATGCAAAATACATCTGAAATACATCTGATTGAATATTTAACCTCCTTACTTTAAGTTATAAAAATAGATTTATTGGGTGTATTTATATTCATCGATATACTAAAAATGTTTATATTTGTATCTCATATTGTTGCACAACTAGTTAAGGTGGTAGCACATGCTTTCGTATATATGATCTCCTGTTTCTTTTCGAATAAAATTCTGAAAAAAAATGCAAATATATATATATATATATATTTTTACAATATTCTGTAAATTCTACCGAATGTTCTGCATGTTCGGTAGAATTTATAGAATATTGTAAATATATATATATATATATATATATATATATTTATATATATATATATATATATTGTTATTTATATTATTATTAATTATTGTTATACTATTATTGATCAATGCTTAATGTAATATTATTATTTGAGATGGATTATTTATAAATAAATAGTGTGTTTGAATTAGATGGAGAATTTGGTAATGAAAATCTACTTAATATGATAACGGCGATGATGATCAAGATGTTTAGTTTTACCACTTTTAATTTGTTCGTGATTTCAATGATGATGATTATGTTGATGACGACGATGACGATGATGATAATGCTGATGATGACGACGACGATGTCGACAAGAAAATTGATGTTGTTAATGTTTATAATGAGCATAACACATTCAAAGTGTACAGGCAGAAAGTGTACGTAAAAGAAAATACTTGGACACGCTGGAATTCTGATAAAACCTGAATAATAATAATAATAATAAATAATAATAATAATAAATAATAATAATAACCATGCCAAACGACACACAATACGAGCAATCGTTAGATAGAATGATTGAAAAACATTGGAAGAATGTAGATTTAAAAATATTCATTCATAATAACAACAATTGACATTGTAAATAAATTTAAATACGCACACACACACACACACACTCACACACTCACACACACACACACACACACACACATATATATAAATTACATATGTATCGTATTATTTGCAAGCACACATATATATGGTAAAATATAAATAATAGATTTATAAGTATAATTTTAAATTTTTTAAAAACTAAAATATAAATAAAATATAGAAATTTTTTGTAAAATAAATTTTACCGCGCTAATGAAGTTATGAAGTTCTGCAAAAAAAGAAAAAAAGGACTTAGAAAACAACAACAATTGAGAGAGAGAGAGAGAGAGAGAGAGAGAGAAACAACAATTGAGAGAGAAAGAGAAACAACAATTGAAAGAGAAAGAAAGAGAGAGGGAAGAGAGAGAGAGAGAGAGAGAGAGAGAGAGGGAGAGAAGGAGAGAATGAGTGAGAATGAACACTACTTTAAAAAATCGACATAAAAAAGAAATGAACAAGATAAAAATTAGAAAAAGATAGGAGTAAAGAAAACACCGATAGACAAGAGGGAGAGAGAGATAAAAACAAGTACGTAAGAAAAGGAAAGAGAAAGAGAGAGAGAGAGAGAGAGAGAGAAAGAGAGGGAGAAAGAGAAAGAAAGAAAGAGAAAAGAAAAAATTCAATATAAAAAAATGATTCTTCGATAATAATAATAATTTCTACTCACTACATGCATGTTAATTTCTACAAGTTGGTTTAAATAAAAGATAAAATGCACTCGCTCTACGCAATAGACTGAAATGGAATTTAGGCAATCAACCAGTTTCGTATCAAAAAAGTAAAAACTAACAAAGGGTACTTACTTACTGTTAATAACAAATAAAAACGTAGAATAACTAGATACAAGTGATATTAGTAAATTGGTTTTAAATCAACACACACCCACACACACACACACCACACACGCACACAGCAAATTAACTAGATAATTGAAAAATTAAAATAAAGTTAACTACACAAAACAGGCAACTGGTTAGCAATAGAAAAAATGTTAATCATTTAAAATTAACCGCCAAACTGATTGATCATTAAAGGTTAAAAAGTTTAAAACCAAATATACAACAACGAAATGTGAAAATGATGAAAAATGTTGAAACTGAAAAATAAAAAACTATTTAACTTGAAAATCTAACAGAATCGAAGAAACGCAAAAAATCGCCATTTTAACAGAACCTAGTTTCACACAATTCAGATATACATTTTCCCATCTAGGTTCCACATACATTCGTAAACATTTAGAATGAGAAAATATATTTAAAAAAAAATCACTTTCCACATTTGCAATTATTCCCCTTACAAAAGTCTAAAATAAGTTTAAAACATCTCCAGATTAAAATTGGCAATTTTTCATCGTTCAGTTAGTTAGTAAGGCACTTACATGCGCACGAGACTTCAAAATGAAACCAATGAGAGTTAGTTTTCAACTTCAAAATAACCGACAATATGTGTATCTATTAACGTTGTAAATAATTTCAACCAATGATATCTCATCACGTGTATCTATTTATAAAGGGTAGATAATTTCAACAAATCACATTGTTGGTAATAAATAATCCACTCCTTAATTCAAATTATTTGCTTTTTAAATTATATAATAGGTGAGCACTGATAGATATCACACACAAACTCACACACACAAACTCTCACACGCACAAACGAACAAACAAAGCACACACACAGCAAACACAAACACAGAAACAAGCAAACGAATGAAAAATATTGCAATGAATGCATTAAAAAACTGATCAGTAACATTTTTCAAGGAAACAAAAATATAAATATTATCTTCTATGCTAAACGAACGTAAACTGATGAACCGAACGAACGACGCGTGTTAGTTAGGTGAACATGAATATGTGATCCTTACATCTGTTTTATGGCTCACGAACATCTCTCTCTCTCTCTCTCTCACACACACACACACAACACACACAACATATTCAAACAAAAGTATATAAAAACATGAATAGTAACACAATATGTATAAACATACGTTAGCACACAAACAGATGAACGTACCTGAATACAAACAAGACTAAATGGATATACACGTCTTGAAATACACACACATACACAAATAGCAACAAGAGGAGATATACATACACTAACATACAAAAAATACAAATGAATGCGTGTATAAAAACAGAGATATATTTTATTCGCGCAAACAAAGTTAGTTAATGCATACTATGTATATGAAGATAAAGCCATTGTTTGCATACGATCATTTTAAAAAAAGTAGCATGTATGTATGTATGTATTGATATACATTGAGTGGGAGCAAGAGTTTGGAAAAAGTTATTAAGTTCAGGATTTTATTTCAAGTTCTATGTATTCGTATTTGAAAAACACTTGAAACAAATTCTAATAGATTTTTTATTCATAAACATTTTACATGACACTGGACATGATATTATTTTTGAGTGACCAGACTCGATAAATCTCTCAAATTCTATCCTGGTCAACCTTACAGCATGTAAACAATTCTTCCGTTTCGGTTACTAATTCAAATTTCGTTTCGTTTCGTATGTATATATATGTTTGCATGCATGCATACAAAACAAAGCAATGCATTAATTAATGTTCACGTGATGTGTTTACATATGAATGTGTGTTGTGTGTGTGTGTGTGTGTGTGTGTGTTCATTGCTGAATCCGTCTGGCCACAACCAAAAGAAAGGAAATGTTGTTAGTGACTGGATGAGCCAACGACGACGATGAAGCCGAAGATGACGACGACGATGATGATAGTTCTTCTGTTAACTGGCTGGCATCCATAAGCAGAGCATTTTTACCATTAATCTGAGCAAATCATAAGTACCAAAATAAACAACATATAATAATTATAATTATAACAGCGAAAGATACAAAACAGTGAGAAAACATTCCTATCAAATGAGATACAAATAGAATAACCCGTCACATTAAAAGTTAATGAAATTTATTTAAACTCTTAAAAAATCTCTAATGACCAAAACATCTCCAAGGTGAACATGAACCTATAAGATAAAAAATACAAATTAAGAAAATAATATAACAACAACAGCAGCCTCAGTAGTACTAGGTGTATTGGAACATGACGCGACTAGACGTGACATTAAATGGCATAACATCAATGACATTAAACGATATGGCGTGACGTATCATACCTCAACAATGACGTCATATTGTTGCAGTTGGAAATTATTTTCATCGTCTTTGGTGGCACTCCTTGGTACGTAATGTTTTTGGAGGTTCTTGTTCATGCTTCTTAGTTTCATGGATGTTTTGTTGGTGAACGTGTTTTTGTTATCTGTATCATTGTTATTATTATTATTGTAGTTGTCGTTGCTGTTTAAAATTCGCCCAACAACACAGACCGAAAATATTACATCTTTATAATTATTTTGATTATTTACATTATTATTTACGTAATCATCTTCATTAGTAGAAACAGACTTAATGCTTAAGGTTATTGTTGAATTAATTATTTCAAAAGGCAGAATGATTCGTTCGTCGTTGTTGTTGTTTGTTTTGTGAACATGTTGGCACGTGGTAAACAGCTGGTAGAATTTTGAATCCAGCAGATCATACAGTGAGAGGAAATGTTTGGTTGATGTCGTTGTCACTGGGAGTGATGCATCCGCCTTCAGTGAAGTTGTTGTTGGTAGGGATAGTGTTGTTGTTGTTGTTGATGGTGTTTCTGTGGTTCTCACTGGTGATGTTAAAGAACCTTCTTGAAGGGATTTGCTATACGGAACAAACCCAGTAGTTTTGATTAATGAGTTATTATTTGATTGGCACTTGACAGGAACCAACTTGCCTTTCAATTTATTAGTTTCAACCAAATCTTCAAAATCTGAATCCTCAACATTTCGATTCTTCATAAGATCAAACAGCGATGGAAACCTATTCTTTTTACTGACAAACAGATCGGCATTATCATCCTCACTTGCACTCACTTCCTCCTCCCCATCTTCACGGCAATCGGGAGTTCGTGGTTCTTCGTAATCTGATTCGACAACTCCCATGGGACCAGCCTCCGCCAAAATGTTCGCCACTTCCTCTGACGTCACCGACTTGCAATCAAAGTCAGACTCATTTTGTTTGACTGCTGAGAAGTGAGATGACTGAAAGATTTGAGATTTTGTGCTGTTTATTTGACCATCTCCGAAAGCACTCACCTCTCGACTCGATACTCGACGGATGATGCGCTGCTCGAGTTTCTTGGATAGCAAATAACGCTTTTCCTCGACCATTTCTTCGGGGAAAGCAACTTGAGGTAGCTGGCGTCTGCTAGTAGTTAATTTGTTGTTTCCTTCATTTTTGTGTTTTTGTGTTGTTGAATTGCTGTGGTCGGTGAGTGACAGGTGTTCGGAGCTGCAGTTGATGCTGCTCAATGTGCTGTTCTCACTTGATGCACTGCTCGTTTTAGATTTTTTGATTTCTTTAAAACTGTTGACTGAATTGCTGTTGTTACAGTTGTTAGTTCCATTGTTGTTGTTGCCATTAAGGCCGTTGATATTATTAATGTGGTTGCTGATGTGATTGTTGTTTACGTTGGCAGCAATGTAATTGTTGGTAGGTGCCACACTACTTCTTGTTTCTCCATCGAGTTTCTTCACGTTCGACTTTGAAGTTCTCGTAGATTTTTGTAGCTGTATCAAGGAAGGCATGGAAGAGTTCAAAGGCGTTTTGAGTTCAACAGATGATGATGAGTAGCTAGATGATGGTGATTGCACAGTTGTGTTAGATTTTTTTTTCTGGAGAGATTTCATAGAATCAATATTGTTAGATAACTTGCTTGCATATTTCATTGAATCTACATCAAGTTTTGAAAAATCTTTTTTAGTGATGAGCAGAGAGTTTCTGACAGATGATAGTGGTGGTCTGGGAGTGATAAAATCTGAAGGCTTTGTATATCTCTCTCCTCGCAGACTCACCATCTCAAGTGCATCACCCGACGGATCCATTTTGTTGGGATTGTCATCGTACTCTTCAAAACAATTTCTATCTATGTTTTTAACTTTTGTTGGAATCATATCATTCTGCGTTACATGACCTCTGTTGCTTCTACTGCTTGTTTCTATGCTGCAGCTGTTGTTGCTGTTATCAATGTTATTATTAGCTACACGTTTCATCAAGCCATTCGTTGTTACACTGTTTTTGAAATTAGTTAGATGTGCATCTGCTGTCTTGTTGAGATTAGTTCGGTGTGTGCCTGAGGTTGAATTAATATTTCGTGTTGGTCGGTAACCTGGAAGTCGTTCCAAGCAGTCCTCCATGTTGAGCACTGAAGACAGCTTATCCTTTGCATTCATTCTGCTGACAACCTGTTCATTTGAAAAAATCATTGCAATATTACAAATAATTTAATTGATTGTGTCATGTTTTCAATTATAAAGCAAGGGAACTAACTATTTCTAAATTTAAAAAAAAATAAAGACCACTGAAAAAAATCACCTGTGAAATGTGTGGAATGTATTTTAATTTCTGAAGAATTGATTCTTTCCAATACAAATAAAATCTACAATAAAAACAAAACAAAAAATATTAAAAAAGAAACATCATAATGAGAATATTTTCAATGAATCATTGATATTTCCAACTAACTCGCATAACTTGAGAGATACAAAGTGACTCGGGCAGTCTGTATCAAGAACTCGATACATGTACACGGTACTATCGACATTTATATCATCATTGTTGAGTGAGCCATGTAGATGAGAATTATTCTCTTTTATTAAAATTAACAACTCTGTTGACATGAGCTGTTGCTCATTCATTCCTATTTTCCTAATTGTCAGTTTCTTTATGTTGAATCCTGTCAGAATCTCTGGGATGACCAGTGTGATGTAACTTTTTCTCTTCGTGAGATTAGATAGGTAAACCTTGATGGCACACTGAAAGTGACAAATATAAATAACATTATGAATAAGAACTTTGAAAATATAAAAAGAATTCGAGTCAGAGATCCACACTAGGAAAAAAATTTATACCGGTTCTTCAAAACACAAACCAAATAAAAAATTCCAGGGTAGACACTAAAAATCACTAAAAGGATATGTATTGTTTTAATTCAACATTTAAATGGCTTAATAAAATTCCATTTAAAATAGAATTAAAAAATCAGGTAACCGATTTAGTTGATTTGTCCAATTCATTCATGTTTATTATTTTATTTATTTTAATTTTAATGAAAGATTTGGGCCTTCTTTGCTGTTTCGTTGAGCTGGTGGAGACAGCAAAAAAAATTAATACAAAACAAAAAACGAAACGACGGTCCCCCGCCAAGAAAAATGTCAACAGCCAACCTAAATCAAATTAAAATACTAATTTTTTAATTTAATAATTAATTAAATTTAATTTTGTATTAATAACAAGAGGGATTGTGATCTAATTAAATTAGGGAATCAGATCCCAAGATCTCAACCAAAAGCGAAACGAATATATGTAAAATTCAAAATATTAATATTTTGATAAAACATTTTACGTTTGTCTCTAATAACAATTTTTTAAATTTAAAAACAGTCTCCAAATAAAAAACAAACATCTTTTTTTCACCAATTTGATTAAAGGTGAGAGTAAGTTAACATGGTAAAATGCGTAACTGCGTTTTGTTCAAAAAATTAAAACGTCATTATAGGAGTAATTGCTAGAAGAAAACATGCAAAATTGTTTAAGAAAGTTTATAAAAATTTATAAAAATTAGCAAAAAATATTAAAATTAGTATAAAGAGGAATCATTCCTGTTGTCAAGAGCAACATTGGAAGAATTGTTTGTTTACGTACACACACATACATCTGATGCTTGCATGTTGTTATTGTTTCTTGTTATCCATCTCATTCCCTATCTATCTATCCATCTAAAGTCTATAAAATCTAAAAAATATATATATATATATACATACATACATCTATATATTTCTATATATAATCATATAAGTATATACTATAACACATCACGTTTATTATATAATATATTTTATATTATATATAATATTCACTTCATACTCTCCACATGCAAGACAAAAGTAAATCATTTTTATACCAATAAACTACCTGCGATATACTTTACTAACATATCATCATGTCTATCCAGCCATTTACCTGGCCGACAATGATGACGAAGACGATGATGTAGATAGCAATGTTGATGTCTTCATCTGTCATATCAACTTTTTTTTACATCTTTTCAATGAACATTTAATCATTTTTTGACGTTTTGACAATGGTATGGTGATTAACATTCACTAATGACTAGACATATGTAATTTTAAATTTAAACCATGCTTTTATTAAAAGAAACGTTTTAAATTTAAAAACCTTTTAAAACGAATTTAAAATAATTAATTATAATAATGGTTTATTTGTATTTAATTTTCGGCTTGTTAATTAGCTACGATGTTGTAGATTCTAAAACTGTATCGGGGACATTAATCACGAACCAAGTAGTAAAATGATCTCATTTATTAAAATTTTTGAAATGTAACACTGAGTTATTAAAATTTGTCTTATTTTTTGGCAGAAATGGATTTTTCTGACGCGTTTCTGCTTCCTGAGTGAAAGTGGAGAGCTGACGTACGATTTTGAGATTCCACTTGTTAGTAGATGATACAAAATTTATTCTTTTATCAAATTTATTCAATCAAATTCAATTTATTTTTTGTCCAGCTAACTACAACAAAATTACGCGATGTAATTTAATTTAAACTCTTTAAAATACCAATAATATTTATTATTGATAAAACAAATGTTAATAATCGAATTTTGAAGATTTTAATTGTTGCTTTGTTGAACGAAACAAATGACTCACTCACTACAATGCAGTCCTTAGCGCCTGTCCAGTTCCTCCTCTATTACGACGAGCCTCAGCAATGGTATTCTGTTTACAAGAAAGACGTGGTAGGTTAATTGAAACAATGAAATTTTCAGTAACTACAAAAAATTGTTGTTTGTCATCTTAGCGTTTTCATATTTTAAAACATTATATAAACTTTATTTAAATAAAAATTAATTAAAATAAACCAAACGATTTTAGTCCTGTGAGAACGCAATTAAAGAGCCATATCTGAACCCGAACAACTACCAAGCCATCAGTTTGGGCAACAACACCAACAACAACTACATATGGACAGGTTGTACGAATCTTGGTGACAGCGTCAAATGTGCTTCAACCAGAAAGTTTGCCACCACCAGAGAGAGATGGTGGTTCATGGCCATTGCCAGGTGTTCCAACCAAACTATCGGGGTACAATTTTATCAATTCATTTTTATATTTTACTGGAAATGTTTTAAACCTACTAGCTACATCAATTAAGAACGTATTTACCAAACTAGAAATTTTTAACAAAAGTAGAAGGACTGCAATGTGAACAACTTTTAGCGTAGGTATATTTCAAATTAATCAATCTTTGAAAGGTCGTGTTGTGTTTGATCTTCTGCAGGGTTTATACCTAAAGTACAGACTGCGTATGTTGAATGGAGATGAATTTTTAACGAAGGAGTTCTCAGCTGATGAATTTCGTAGGTATTTTTTATATTAAAAATTATTTTTTTATGATAATTTTTAAAAGA